GACTCAAGTTTTGCAGGTTCTCAGAAAAAAAAAGTTGTATGCAAAGTTGAGTAAGTGTAGGTTCTGGCTCGAGCAAACTACTTTCCTAGGGTACATCATATTAAGGGATGAAGTGTTAGTGAACTTCGAAAAAGTTGAGGCAATGCTTAGTTGGGAGAAATTGACCTCGGTAAAGGAGATTCGTAACTTCTTAAAAATAACAGGTTATTACCATAAGTTTGTAGAAGGATTTTCTAACCTACCTACTCCTTTGACCCGGCTCACAAAGAAGAACGTCAAGTTTAAGTGGAACAAAAACTGTAAAAAGAGATTTTCAAAACTAAAGAAGCAATTGATTACTGCACCTGTATTGGCCTTGCTGAGTGGGACAGGTAGATACACAATTTATAGTGACGCCTCCTACCTGGAGTTAGGTTGTGTTTTGATGTAGCATGCGAAGGTCATAGCTTATAAGTCCAGGCATTTGAAGAGTCATGAGAAAAACTACCCCACCCACGACTTAAAACTTGTCACGATGATCAACGTCTTAAAGACTTGGCGTAATTACTTGTATGGAGGGACTTTTCATATCTATACCGACTATAAGAGCTTGAAACACATATTCATTCAAAAGGATCTCAACAAGCGTTAGAGATGATGGATAGAACTCCTCAAGGACTACGATTGCAACACTTTGTATCACCCGAGTAAGGGTAATGTGGTAACCGATGCACTCAATAGAAAAAGTGCAGGTATGTTAACTCACCTAATAGTTTTAGAATGCAGAGTAATAGGGGTCGCCCAACATATACGACTTCAAGACCAGAAGAGAGTTACATGTTTGGTCCACTTGACTATTCAACCTGAGTTGATTCAGAGAATAAAAGAAGCTCAATTCGTGGATTCCACCCTAGTAGCTCTCAGGAAAAATACAAAATAGGGAGTAAATTCAGAATTTTGAGTCTCTACCAATATGTTGTTCAGATTTCAAGATAGGATGTGTGTTCCATGTGATAGTGAACTGAAAAAAACATCATAACAGAGGCTCATAACTCAAAGTTTATCATGCATCCCAGAAATACTAAAATGTATCAAAGTATGTGACTCTAGTTTTGATGGAACGGGATGAAAAGTGAGATAGTCGATTTTGTTCCCAAGTGTCTAGTGTATCAGCAGGTCAAGACAGAGCATCAGCACCCAGGCGGCCTACTTCAGTCATTACCGATTTTGGAGAGGAAGTGGGAACACATCACAATAGATTTCGTGACAAGATTGCCTATGGCATGCTGGGGACATGATGCCATTTGGGTAATTATTGACCGACTCACTAAATTTTCTCACTTCTTGGCTATCAATATGATCGAACCCTTAGACAAACTAGTAAGAATGTATATCTAAGAGATAGTCAGGTTACATTGAGTGTCAGTTATAATAGTATCCAATAGGGACCTAGGTTCACTTATCGGTTCTGATCTAGTTTTCAGTAAGTCATGGGAACGAAACTGTCTCTTAGCACCGCATTCCACCCTCATACTGATGGACAATCAGAAATAAAGATCCACACACTGGAGGATATGCTCTGAGCTTGTGTTCTTGACTTCGGGGGTCATTAGGATTATCATTTACTTTTAATAGAGTTTGCCTACAATAACAGCTACCAATTAAGTATCGGCATGATTCCGTACGAGATGTTATATGGCCGCCCATGCAGATCGTCGATCTGTTGGGAAGATGTGGGTGATAGAAAATTGTTCAACCCAAATCTTGTAGAGGAGACTACAGCCAAAATAGTTAAAATCAGGAAGAACATGCAGATGGCTCAGAGCAAGTAGAAGAGTTATGAGGACACCCAAAAGAGAGATTTGAAATTTGAGAAAGGTGATCGAGTATTCCTCAAGGTCACTCATTTCAAAGAAATCAACATGTTTGGCAAAAGGGAGAAACTAAATCTCTGGTTTATTGGGTCATTTGAGATCTTAAACAGAATTGGTACCGCCACCTACAGACTGACATTACCTCAAGAACTATCCAGAACCCATAATGTATTTCATGTGTCCATGCTACGCAAGTACAACTCGAATCCTTCTTATATATTGGCCCACGAGCCCCTTTCACTCTAGGAGGATTTGTCCTATGAGGAGGTACCAGTGGGCATTGTAGACTGAAAGAGTAGAGTACTCCGCAACCAGAAAACTCCATTTGTTAAGATTCTATGGCAGAATCACACACACACAGAGGTCACATGAGAGCTAGAATTAGACCTCAGAGCCTAGTATTCTCAACTGTTGATTAAGTGAAAGTGACAAAGTTAAGAGACCAAATTTCTTTTAAGGGGGGAGAGTTGTAATATCCGAGCTCAGAAAATTGGCCCAGGATAAATTTTGTTAATTTAGATATGTATTAAAAATATATTTTATAAATTAATTTAATGAAATTTTTGTTATATTTGGAAAAAAATAAATTAGGGATGAGATTCAAAATAATTTTGGAAAAAATGGGTAAAAATTTGGGTTCGGATAGTATTTTTAAAAGAAAAATCAAAAACTGAAAATCATAATATAAATAAAAAAAATTGGTCACATAGAACCACCCAGTCAGCAACCTCGATGAATTGGAGCGGGTCGGGTGATAAGACACACTGACTCGGTGCCACGCGGGAGGCCACGCTGGCAATCCGTGTGCCTTGCGATCGGACGACCCAGAAGCGATCCCGCGCATGTGGATGATCCTAATACGTTTTCCCCTTAGATGCGATCAGACGATCGAGATCAACGTGATGAACGGTTC